TCACAAAAAAAATCAATGTAGTGAGAGCGGGCGCATTCAGTGTTTTCGGTACGTAGCTGTAAGCCCAAAATGTAATTGACTGATCATTTTGAAATTCCAACATCATTATCAAGATCTCTAACTGTAAATCGACGGTTTTCAAGCAGCAAATCTTTAGTTTGTTTGGACTTGAGTTTCGTTCGCTGAGGTTAATGGTCGATCAGAGGGCTCTTCGTCTTCAACGCATTCTATGCCTTCTTTGAACTGTTTATACCACTTCTAAACATCTCTTTCCGATATAAGAATGCTCACCGAATATCTTCTGCAACATTTTATATGTTTTCGTAAACAAAATTTAATGCAAGTTATTTGCTCAATAAATTCAGACATTTAAAAAATCGTTTAGCGTCTCACAAAGCCAAGCGTAACTCAAACACTAATGAGTATTTTGACATCAAATGTCACTGAGATGCCAAGGACAGTGGCAGCAACCTAAAAAAGAAAAAAAATTGAAATTCCATAAGCCCTGGTAATTTTAAATTGAAAATTTGTTTTACTTTTTGGGCACAGTAGTATTAATTAATGAAATGGCCTGCAGTCAGCCCTCAACAATTTTTAACGATTTCCATCCATTCAAAATGAAGCCAAACAAGTCGTAAAAATTACAAAATCAATTGGTGGTGAATTACTTTCAGATGTGAAAGGAGAAGTCAAATAATTCATCCAGAAATGACAAATGACGAACTCAATAACTGCCGACAGTGATAGTAAAGAAGAAAATATAGCGCCTTTAACTTACAAGAAAAACAAGTTGTTAAAAAAAAAGCCAGGAATTGACAATTAATTTTGGAATGGAAATTAACAAGAGGAGCTCTTTACTTTCTGAGATGCTTTATAAAACATATCTCAAGCAAAAATCACTAAAATTTTTAAAAAAAAATAACAATTGTATCCTGTACCTCCTTATTAAGTAGTAAAAAAATCCTTTCAATTGAAATGTACTCTATTTTTTTCCTTTTAATAACAGCAATACTGAGGTTTGTTTAATTTCTGAATTTAAATTATACCTAATACTTTTTTCTCCTTGAAAGTTAACTTTGCAGAACGAGATCTTTCCCAAGCAGTTCGGAAAGGAATTTTATTGCATATTGTTTGCATTTATTGCATATTGTGCGGCGATTCACGTTAAATCTCTTCAATCGACTTGAAACGGTCTCCACGGAGTGGTCTTTTGAGTTTAAGGAATAGTCAGAAGACGCACGGTGTGAATACAGTGATTGTGGAACGATATGGGTTTCATTTTTGGCAAAAAGTCACAAAAAATCAATGCAGTGTGAGCGGGCGCATTCAGTGTTTTCGGTACCAATCGGGATTTGACGCGTTTGAGGCCCAAAATGTAATTGACAGATCATTTTGAAATTCCAACATCATTATCAAGACCTCTAATATATTCATATAATGTCCAACTTACACAGGTTAACTCAAGTTTAACCTGCGGACTGCCAAAAGATCTCCGTCAGAACCACAATTAAAGTAATAGCAATTAAGTAGTTCAAGAGGAATAGAAAACTCAATAAAATACTCCTGACATAAAGAAAACAATATAAAATTGTAGCACAGAAGAATATGTATGAGATCCAGTGTTTAATAATGCTGCTATATTGAAAATTGTTCAAAATCGTTATAAAATATGGCGACACTCTTTGTATTTGCAGGATGTCTCACCACTGGATTTACCAATTTCTAGAACAGGCGAAGTAAATCTAGACTACTCGAATAGAATAGTAATACAGGGTCGGAAATACTTTCCTGACAATGTAAAACCATAAATGAAAAGACACCACATAAGGCAATGCGAGAAGTTTTAATCTATTCTAATGCAATTCAATAGTGATGAACAGTAATATCGTCGTTTTAATGCATGTCGTTTTCAAGCTGAATCTTCCAGATGTTGTTGCGAGATAACCCGGCATCTATTGCTCTTCGAAGTTGATTTGTCCTTTAACAAACCTAGCACAGTTTCGTCCATTTTCAGAGTCAGTGCAGTTCTTCCACGACTTAGAATGGCTCTATGGAAACAACGTCTCTCTAATAATCAATTAATTAAAAATGAGTTCATGGAGTTAAAAAAAATGGCAAATTGACCTTCAATAGGTTTTCAAAATAGCCCTTTTCTACAGTAAGTTATATTTTACGCATAAGAATTGCAGTAATTGACATTAGTAATTCATCACTTCATTCTTTGTAGAAACGGATTACAGAGAAGAAGAATGTTTTCCTCAACCCATGTAATCCATGTTTAACTCCGCACATGACAACTACTGTACACTGAAGTGACAAAAGTCATGGTATACCTCTTAATATCGTGTCGGCCCTCCTTTCGCCCGGCGAAGTGCAGCAACTCGACGTGGCATGGACTCAACAAGTCGTTGGAAGTCTTCTGCAGGAATATTGAGCCATGCTGTCTCGATAGACGTCCATAATTGTGAAAGCGTTGATGGTGCAGGATTTTGGGCACGAACAGACCTCTCGATGATGTCCCATAAATGCTCGATGGGATTCATGTCGGGCGATCTAGGTGGCCAGATCATTCGTTGGAATGGTCCAGAATGTTCTTCAAACCAATCGCGAATAGTTGTGGCCCGGTGACATGGCGCATTGTCATCCATAAAAATCCCATCGTTGTTTGGGTACACGAAGTCCAAGAATGGCTGCAAGTGATCTCCAAGTAGCTGAACATAAGCATTTCCAGTCAATGTTCGGTCCAGTCGCACCAGAGGACCAAGTCCATTCCATGAAAAACAGCCCACACCATTACGGAGCCACCACCAGCTTGAACAGTGCCTTGCTGACAGTTTGGGTCCATGGCTTCGTGGGGTCTGCGCCACACTCGAACCCTACCATCAGCTCTTACCAACTGAAATCGTGACTCATCGGACCAGGCCACGGTTTTCTATTCATCTAGGGACCAACCGATATGCTCACGTGCCCACGAGAGTCGCTGCAAGCGATGTCTTTCTGTCAGTAAAGGCACTCGTGTCGGTCTTCTGCTGGAATAGCCCAAGAAAGCCAAATTTCTCCGCACAGTTCTAACAGACAAGTCCCTTGTACGTCCCACATTGATTTCTGCGGTTATTTGACGCAGTGTTGTTACTGTTAGAATTTACGACTCTTTGCAGACGTCGCCGGTCTCGGTCGTTAAGTGCAGGCGGTCGACCACTGCGCTGTCTATGGTGGGATGTTATGCCTGAAATTTCAACTCTCGGCACACTCTTGACACAGTGGATCTGGGAATGTTGAATTCCTAACGATTTCCGAAATGGCATGACCCATGCGTCTAGTTCCAACTAACATTCCGCGTTCAAATCTGTAATCCCGTCGTGCGGTCATCATCACGTCAAAACCTCTTCACATGAATAACTCAGAAATGAAAAGCTCTGAAATGCGCATTTATGCCTGTTCTACGATGCTACTGCCATCTGAAAATTTGCATATTGCTATCCCATGACTTTTGTCACTTCAGTGTATAGTGTTTGAATCCCACAAAATATTAAAAACTAAACAACTCTCACTCATTCGTTGTTTTAAAATGAAAGAAATCTTCATCAAATCGTTACAACTTTATTAGCCCAGAAATGAAATCGTAATCGTTACAATGTTGTTATCTCAGAAATGAAATCATATTCGTTACAATATTACTAACTCAGAAATGAAATCATAATTGTTACAATGTTACTAGCTCAGAAATAATTTAATCGTTATAATGTTAGTAGCTCAAAAAAGAAATTGTAATCATTACAATGTTACTAGCTCAGAAATGAAATTGTATTCGTTACAATGTTACTAAGTCAGAAATGAAATCGTTACAATGTTGTTATCTCAGAAATGAAATCGTATTCGTTACAATATTACTAGCTCAGAAATGAAATCGCAATTGTTACAATGTTACTAACTCAGAAATAATTTAATCATTATAATGTTAGTAGCTCAGAAATGAAATTGCATTCATTACAATGTTACTAACTCAGAAATGAAATCGTAATCGTTATAATATTACTAGCTCACAAATGAAACCGTAATTGTTACAATGTGATGGCCAATTGGCTAGCTCTCTTCCCTTTCGAACCGCAGGCCTTAAGTTAGAATACAGGCTGTAGCATGGATGTTTGTTAATAATTTAGAATTCACTTTAGACTCCCGGTCTAGTTAGACCAAAGTGTACAAAATAAAAGACGGTAGAGCGACAAACTAATCTGAAGAAAAATTTTTTCTTTTTGAAATGCCCCCAATTTTTCTTCGTATCCCACTTCTGATCGACAGCAACATCTAGACCCAGTCCATGAATTCGTGTTCTCATGGAAGAAGAGAAGTCGGGGACAGCTTCTGTTGGGATGGAGCACCTCCGTATGTATCGTATGGGGAGAAAATTACCATTTGGTAAAACTCCCACCAGGTAGTCCGACTCACGAGGCAAGATGATGAATATCACAAACGCATTCGATTCTCCTCGTTTTTTGAAACAGTGTTTGCAACAAAGCCGCCAGTGGATTGAACCTCCGCCCTAATGCTCACCAGCGGCGCACGTTGCCACTGAGCCCCGAGTCAGTCACAAAATAATTTTTAAAGTATGATGATAATTTAAAAGAAAAAAAAAAAATAAGGTTAGAAAATAAAAATTCGCAAGTATCAATTACAAGCATTCGATTCAAAGCTGGCTGATAAGTTACTGATAATATCGGGTCAACTCAGTACGCCACGAGAGATAACAGATAAGATACACGTTTTTAATTGCACATACACACACAAGAAAAAGAAAACACTCACGTTTCTCAATCGATATAATTGTCACAAAAGAACAGGAAACATACATCTGAAATGGTTAGATAAAGCATTATTTAAATATGGATTTTTTTTTAATTTCGTGGAACATGTAAAGCGTTCTTTTTTTTTTTTTTTAATGTTAATACACTTTATCGATAAATAATGGGGAAGAGTTTTATGAGTAATAATTGCTAATAATCGGCCCATTAGCACAGTTTGTATGAGCGTTGTGCTAATAACGCAAAGGTCGGGGGTTCAATCTCCGCATGGGCCAATGTTGCAAACATTTAAAAAAAAAAAAAAATTCATTTGGGGTCTGATGGGGCGCTGTTGATGTGTTCTGGCACTTGAAGCAGCAGGTTTAAAGTTCAAATCCGCGGTGTGCCACGGTTTTTTGTAGTGGTCGGAATCCACTTTAAGCCATAGATCCCGGTCTACTATGACTATCACTACTACACCCCAACACATCACATCACTGTGCCTAGAGCTGAGTTGCCCCTATATAGTTTGGGAATGACGTGGGTGAGACATCTGACTGGGCTCTGTGACGCTCTACAGTCATATGAGACGTGGACCTACGGCTTAAAATGGATTTCGAACCACTACAAACATCCATGACACCGCCGTGACTAGAACTCGAAACCTATGGTACCGAGCGCCAGGAGCCCTAGTCCCTCGAACTTACATTTTTTTATATAATACAACATTTAAATAATAATATATATATATATATTTTCCAGTCAGTACTGATGATTGATTTGCTCCACAGGATGGACACTACAAGTGACCGGAGCGCCCCCTATCTGCTGGATGAGGAGACTGTACCTTGTCGGCTGGAGGAAGAAGGTGGAACGACCCTGCGCAGGCGCTTTCCCCGAGCAGAGGTATGCGCAGTGAGTCTAGCCGTCGGGTGCATGTTGGCCATCTCGGGAACAGTGATGATCACGTTGCACTACACCGTCGAATCGCCCAACTCGATGCTCAGCAGGTTGACTTCACCCTTACTGTTAGGCCTGCTGTTGCTCCTGTTGGCTGCAGCCCTACCTCTCTGTGGTCTGCTGGCCTGCGCAGTGTGGCGCACCCTCGAAGTGCTGGACATGGCGCACCGATACCGCCAACACCTGTGCGCCTACGAGGAAATGCGGCAGAGCATGCGCTCGCAGCACCGATTCAGACCTGCTAATTGAGCCAACTTCTGTCGCCAACACATCTGCTCGATGCGAGCCCGGACTATGGTCAGCAAGTCGATTGCCTGATAGGTTGTCCAGAATCGAGCCGGCTACAATTGATATTTTATCTAATAATCACACTTTAGAATTGCACTTAGCTCATTTTTATAGCAAAGATGTCTGGTAAGGTTAAGTCAGTATGTTAATTTGACTTGAAACTATAATTGGCAATTTGAAAGATTTTGATATGTTAAAACAAAAAACATCATCCAATTATAATTAAATAAAAAATAAACTGTTAAATACTTTATTTGATGTTTTCCAGTCTACTGCAGACTATTGTGACTTATGGCTTTATTGAAAACTAATCGATTAAATTAAGAATCACACACAAAGGAACAAGAAACATACAGTAATCGATAATAAGGTCAAAGGGGGAAGAGAGTCAACAAAGAGGGTAGACACTTTATTTTAGTCCATGTGGCTTCCCAATACAATTGTAAGATTTCTCCTTGGAGCTGAGCCTCCCTGTTCAGTCCTGGACATTTCAGAAGATGTTCTGTATTCATTGTTCCAGCTCTGCATATTGGGCAAGTGTTGGAGGAGAGAACACCTATCATGTTTAAGTGTTCCGCAAGACAATCGTGTCTGGTTCTTAATCGAAAGTTAGCAACCACCTCTTTACGTGGTCTAGTGTTAAAGATTTTCTAGCGATCTTGAATAGTGTGCCCCTTTTTGCCTTCAGATTTAGTTATGCGATTATTATTCAGTTTCTTAAAAATTTATAAATGAATATATTTCTTGAAAGTTTCTAGTGGAACTTGTTTCCTTCTGCTGCAGACTAAAAGTTCATATTCTGTGTTAGTAACATCTGGTTGCAGGATCTATGTATACATAATTTTTTTTTTTTAATTTCTAAATTTACTAGTAAAAATGTATGATCCATTTTTAAATTGCTCTCCACAAAGTAAATGTAATTGTTGCTGAATGCAATAATAAAATATACAAGCCTGTTTGTTTTCAAATATATGTTGAACCAAGCATTTTTAGACTGAATATAAATAAAAAAAAAATGGTTAATAAAAATTATTTAACTTCACTATTTGGTTACTATCAAATCACAAAAATAATAAAAACACTTATTAAATAATATAATATGGCAGAAAAACTTATTTACTTTGCGTGAAGATATATGCACGTTTTTTTTTTTTTTTCTTATTGTGTGACTTTTACAAGTATGTGCATTTTGTTATAAACTTAGCTTTTATTACGAAAGTAAAGCATCAACAAGCTTTCTATATTAACAAGCTATTCTCAAAATGATATTTGGTAGATCATTAATGGTAATATGACTATATGTTATAACCTGAATCTTTGTTATTAAATTCAACAGGCAATATTTTCATTGTGAATATTTAATACAATTTTTAAAAGACATTTAAATGTATTTTCTTTTGAAAAAAATTAAAAAGTAAAATATTTTCAGCTAAATAAAAATGGCAATCTTCTAATATATATGGATGAGTTTTTTTCTTATTGTGCAACATTTACAAGTCTGTGCATTTTTGCTAGCTTTTATTGCAAAAGTAAAGCATCAACCAATTAAAAGCTCTCTATATTAACAAGCTTTTTCTCAAATTGCTGTTTGGTAGATCATGAATGGTAATATGGTATATGATGTCTAAGTTTTTGCTATTTAATTCAACAGGCAATCTTTTTTATTGTGAATGTTTAAATACTTGTCATTTAAATATTTTACAAAATGTCAATTTTTAAAAGATATTTAAATGTATTTTTCTTTTGAAGAAAAATATTAAAAAGTAAAATATATTGCAGCTAAAAAAGACAATCTTCTAGTCATTTCTTTTCTACATTCTTGCAGGTTGTTACATGGAACTAATTAATCGTATTATTACAAAAAATATCAAATGTGTTTTAATATTTCAAAAGAGGGTTAAAAATTCTATGAAATGTTTTTTTTTTTTTTTTAATTTCTTGCAAAGTTGGCAACATTTTTTTAATGAAATCCTTTTCTTATTATTTATCTTACTTAATTAATAATTAAAAAAAAAATAAATGTTTAAATCTAGTCATTTCTTTTCTATATTCTGGGCAATTTGTATGTTACATGGAACTAATTAATCACATTACAAAAATATTAAATGTGTTTAATATTTCAAATAGATTAAAATGTTTTTTTAAATGTCTCGCAAAGTTGAAAACATTTTCTTACTGAAATCATTTTCAAGACTTTTACAATTTATCTTGTTAGTTAATTCCATTGAAATAATAAATGATTAAACTGTAGTACAATATATTATCTTAATGTTGAATTTGTAAACAATAAAAAAAGTAAATATCAAGAAATCACATTCATTTTTTAGAAAATTTATTGCTTATGAAAGGATACACAAGTGGCACTTCACAAAACTAATCTATTATATTTCAATATCAAAAATTACTAATTCAAAATTTTTCCTACTAAAGGACGTCAGAAGAAATAAAAACAAGTTCAGAATTTAAGTACAAAAAACATTAAAATTCATCAAAAACATTACAAATGTAAAACTTCATAAAATACTTTATAGTTCAAAAAATCTATTTTATTGCTACGCAGATGAAAAAGGACAATCTCAAAAAGTCTTTTTGAATGTTGACAATGTAATTTTTTTATCTACTCTAACACTATAGCATATGTTAATACTCGAATATAATCTATCATTACTTCAGAATAAAAGACTAATTACTATTAATATATTTTTAACACCTAATGCATGCAGTGATATTTATAGACCATATGAAAATACATGAACACTTTTTTAATCTATTTCAAAATCTTCCTTATGTGATTAAAACATTCCAAACATACATTATTAAACATAACAAAATGTCAAATATTATGCAATAAATTGACAAAGATTTAATAATCTATATTTTAAAAGTTATCAAATTCGAAATGAATTAAAAATTGTTCACTTTTAATTGTAACTTTCTTGTATTATTACATTGTGACCTCATACCATGGTCATTTTCCATTCTTCAATTTTTTCACAATGCAACATTAATGACTTAATATTTATGATTTAATTCTACATTGTTTTTTGAACTCCATCCATCTACTATACATTATTTTTCATTTGAAGTTCAAAGAGGATTAATAGTATATAAGATTATTATTAATTTTTTTTTCATGTATCGTGGATGCCACTGCAGATTTTGTACTCGATTGATTCCTACACATGCAACATCAATGCCAGAAACAACAACATATAAATTTGATTCTATGGCAATGCCAGACATTAATTGCTTTGTCAAACATTCAAGTAAGTGCATCAGAGTGTTATTAAAAACGTGAAAAAATTTACGAGATCCAAAAAGATTCATAACTCCACTGATTTCAGATCACATTTAAAACACAGAAAATTCAACATATAACTAAATAACTTTCCCATGATATGTTATCAATAATTGATAACACTTTTGGAGCTCACTAAATAAATAATTAAGCATTAAAATTGACTTGCCATAAAAGCATCAAGTATGCATAAACAATCAACAAGATAAAAACTTTTAGCAATATGTAGAACCATTTATAAAAGTAATGATTCCTTATTTTTTTTTTTAGAAGGTCAAAACTGATCCATTTCTCAAAATTAAACTAAGATAAACAGAAATAGTTCCTAGGATCAGTAAGATGAAATTCATAATTCGTACATTAAACAATAAATCAAGTTTTACCAAATGTGAAAGAAGCCTTTCATCATCAACATATGCTGCGTTTTCTTTTTTATAATGCCATGCTCTTGACCAGAGGTTATCGCCAAACAATTGATACCGCAGATATGCAGCAAATTCAGCATTGCCTTGGTGGCACCATGAAGAGTTTGTCATGCGGCACCCACTTCAATAGCACTCAATTTAGTACAAGCACTCCAAGAGGGAAATATCATTATAAATCAATTGAATTCAAAGAATAAAATATTTTTTGGCCAAAAGTAAGAAAACTCTTAAACAAAACGTAAATTGCATTTAAAAAGATCTCCATATTCCAAGAGTGAAGAGCATTAAGACAACGGCCAAAAACAGATCCTTTTGCAACAGATTT